CCTACTCTCTCTTCTCCCTCTCACCCTCCTTTTCTTCCTCTTTCCCTCCCCACTCCCTCCTTCCCTGCTTCTTTTTCCCTCCCTCCCTCCCTCCCTCCCGTCCTTCCTTCCTAGCACACCCTCCATCCTGTGCATCATGCTAGATGCTGGTGAGTCGTGGAGAGTGTGGTAGAGATGACCCACTCTAATGGAACCCACAGAATACATTGGTGCCGGTGATCTAAATCCCTTTAATAGATAATTTCCCATTTGTGGATTCAAGTTTATAAGTTACCTGCATTCAACTCTAGGAACCTGTATAAAAAGCCAACTTAGATTTATTTTTCCTTAATGATGATTTTAAGCATCAAAGGATTTCCCCAAGTAAAAATAAGTAAAGCAGAAGGAATGATTGGATTCACAAGGATAAATTCAAAGGTGTTTGGTTGGAGACACAGACCTGTCTGGCCGCCATGGGGCACACCTCAGCACCTGGGCTGGGGTCAGCGTGCTGCTGCAGTGTTGCATCTTCTCTGGACTTCTGAATCTGTGGTTTCCAAACCAACACTAGTTGGGGCGCTGGGATGACTGAATTAAAAAAGCCAGACCAACTTTGTCTGGATCCAGGGAGCTCCCTGGGACTAGCACTGGGTCTGTGGCCTGTGAGCAGTGCTTCTAGGAGCCCCTGCTAGGCAGGCAGCAGACGTGCCTGGCCATTTGCCCATGGCTACCATTCCTCCATAACAGAGAGACTCCATAACCCTCTTATTTCTTCCGGCCAAGGAAATTATTAATTATATGGTTATATCTTAGAGAGGGGGACAGAATGAAACGTGGGCTCTAAAAATCTGGCCATGGACTGAAGCCAGCGGGGGTGAGTGTGGGAGGAGAGCTGGACCTTTCATCTGGGGGGTCTGTCCTGCCCTGTATGGAGCTAAGTAGGTCTACCACCTTTTGTCTTCCCCTGGATGTTCCAAGGGAGACCTCCTGGCCCTGTCTGCATTCCTTTGCTGGGAAGTACGTCACTTCCCACCTGCCCAGTGGCAGCCTCCATAGGAGTCAAGAGCTGAACGTCACTAGTACCCAGAACCAGAGTTCAAGAACACAACAGAAAAAAAAAAAAAAAAAAAAAAAAGAAAAGAAAAAAAGAGTAAAAAAAAAACAAAAAAAAAAAAAAAAAAAAAAAAACCCACAAGGGAGACAGATCCAAAGAGTGGGAGCCTCTTCAGTTAAGATTTTGTGCTGGGTGCAGTGGCTCACCCTTGTAATCCCAGCACTTTGGGAGGCCGAGGTGGGCGGATCACAAGGTTAGGGGTTCAAGACCAGCCTGGCCAATATGGTGAAACCCCGTTTCTACTAAAAATACAAAAATTAGCTGGGTGTTGTGGCATGTGCCTGTAGTCCCAGCTACTTGGGAGGCTGAGGCAGGAGAATTGCTTGAACCTAGGAGGTGGAGGTTGCAGTGAGCTGAGATCACGCCACTGCACTCCAGCCTGGGTGACAGAGTGA